GATGGGAATAAATGGTACAGGAGTGAATGGAAAAGGGAGTTTTCTTCTCACCATCTTCTGCGCATGCTGGTGGCCGGTGTTTGGACTTGGTCAAGACCAACCGTCCTGCATACCAACCTGATGATGCCTTTTGGAGATGCACCCCTCATGACATCCAAGGGAGTTGCAGATTGGACACTGGGGTGGGATCGTTGGAGGGAGGGGGCTGGGTTATCATTTGATATGTATTTGTTCGAGCCTTCCTGGCTCAGATCTTGCTTTGCTTTTGCTGCTATCTTTTCATAACCAGTAAAAGTATTATAATTCCACAAACAATGGAGTTAGGAGTTTTCTTTCTTGGTTATTGAGGGAGGCATGCCTGACAGCGAACTTCTGTCCTGAGGTACTTAAGAGGTGCTGTTGCTTCAAAGAAAAGCTTCAAAATTTGATTGATCACATTCTCAGACATCATTTGTTCCTCTCCTACAACAGCAACCAAAATCAAATGTATAAATTGCTTTCAAAATGTTGTTTATCCAGGCACATTTCATATGTCATGGACTGTCTGAATATATAAAGATACATAATGTTTGCTGTCTAGAAATTGTTGACTTTTTAAAAATGCATGTTTATATAACTGTTGAACTATTTAACTTCTTTTTTCAGGGTATCTTCCCATCTAGCTTTGTTCACTTGAAAAATGCATGTGTTAAGAACAAAGGGTAAGTGGAAATTCGAAAACCCTGAATTTTAGCAAAAGATAAGGAAAAGACATTGGTATCTTACCACATTCCTAGTGGAGTGGCAATATACTTAATGTGACAAATAATTAAGCATATAGGGAAATACCTGTATTTAATTAAATTACTTCATTATACTTTAATTGTCAAATGTTACTCTTTTTATCCTGACCCAATTACTTTTTTGAGCATGCTGGTCCGGAATGGGACCTTCAGGCTCCTCCCCTTGGCCCTGCCTCCTTTGACTCCTGCCTCAGTCCATTTACATCAGCTTTCCGCTGGCCCTCCCCCGGCCATTTGCCCTGGCCAATGGGCTTCTGGTCCTCCAGTCCACGCTCTTTGGCCCAGCCCATTCGCCAAGACACCGTTTGGCCGCACGGCCTGCCTGTATGTCTTCTCCCTCCCTGCCCCTCTTGCAGCTGTTTGTGGTGGTTTATTTTTCTTTTTTTCAGTGTCTTTTATTTTCTTTTGGAATAAACCTTACATGTCAAGATCCAGCTGCTGCCAAAGTTCCCTGTACCTGATCCTGCCTGCCTGACCCTGAACGGGTGGTTGGTGGCAAGCAGGTGGCAAGGAAATGGGGAAAAACGTACTGAACTGCTGTCTCAACAACGGCAAATGTCAGACTCAACTGCGGTCATAAAGTAAAGCAGGAGGTCCTAACAGAATCGTGGAATAACAGAGTTGGAAGGGACATTGGAGGTCATCTAGTCCAACCCCCAGCTTGAGTACGGTTATATTTATGACGGTTGCCATAAAGACAGGTAAAGAAATTTCAGCTAAATTTTTGACCCAAAAGGTCCCTAGCAGGCAGTTTTTCACGGAGCCCGTCAGAGCTCTGCTATTTCCCAACCGGTCTCGTCGCAGCGCTTCTAGGATTCCCCAGCCTTCCATCTTCTCTGCTCTCTCAAAAACCCAACAGCTTAATAACAAAAGGAGATTTCCCACCTGGTGCTGCTGTCTATCTCTCTTTCCCATCTCTGAGCATGTACCGAGTTCTCTAATTCCATTGGACAGATGGATGGCCTTGATCAGAAGGGATTAATTCTATTTATGCCACACATTTCGGATGGCTGCTTGGCCAGATCCCAAATCAATCCAATTCAGCTTTTCCCTACAAGTTAGTCTTCAGTTTATGACCACAAATTGAAACTGAGCTTTACGTTGTAAGTGAACAATTTACGAAGCGAATTTGTCCCATTTTCCGACTCATTTGTGATGGGAATTGCTGCAGGTGTTAAAATCAGTCACATGGTTGTTAAGTGAATCTGGCTTCCCCAAATCTCCATTGCTAAGAAAGACAGCTGTTCAGTGAGTTTGGACCCATTTTACAAGTTTTCTTGCTACTGCTGTTAAGTGAATCATTGTTTAAGTCAGTCAAGCAGTCATTAAGCAAAACCGGATCCCCCAGTGACTTTGCTTGTCAGACGGTCGCAAAAGGGGAATCACGTGAACCCAGGACATTACAACCATCATAAATGCGAGTCAGTTGCTAAGCATCTGACTGTAAATCACGTGACCACTGAGATACTGCAATGGTCATAAGTGTGAAAAATGGTACATTAGTGTAACTTTGAATGGTCACAATATGAACTGTTGTAAGTCGACCATTACCTGTACTGTTATCCAATTTGATGGCAGTCCTTGACTTATGACTATCATGGCCAACCTTGACAGATGTCATATGTCCATACCTAAGATCAATCAGATATTCTTCATACAACCTTTCCTATGATGGTCACATAGTGAGACATTTGTCAAACAGGACCATCCGACCATCCAACCATTTTATGACCGTTGTTGCAGCAGTCACTCAGCAAATCCCACATTGTTAAACAAACATCACCATTGTTAAATGAAGACCCTGGTTTGCTATGGCCCCAACAGCTGGAACTTCAGAACTTCAGTATTCCGTACTTCAGAATACATTTTTTTTTCTTCCCCACGTAGGTTATAAGTTGGAACAGTCACTAAGCGAATGGTCATAGATTGAGGATTTCCTGTTACAAGATTTATTGAATTGGTTCGATTCCAGCACATCTGGAGTCAGCTTTGTACAGAATGTATGGGTGACTCTGCTACATGGTCTTTGGAGTATCTCGAGTTTGTTTCGGCCTGCATGTAATCTTAGCTGGTTTTGACTAGCCAGGTTTAAACCATGAAAGTTTGGAGTAAAATCTGTACATTAAGGAACCTAGACTTCCCAAATACAGATAGTCCTTGACTTACAACAGTCCATTTAGTAACCGTTCAAAGTTACAATAGCACTGGAAAAAGGGACTTACAACTGTTTTTCACACTTAGCGGCCATTGCAGCATCCCCATGGTCAGGTGATCCAAATTCGGACGGTTGACAATTGACTCATATGATGGTCGCAGTGTTTGTGGAGTCACACGATCCCTTTTGCAACCTCCTGATCAACGAAGTCCATGGGGAACCCAAATTCACTTAACGATCATGTGACTTACTTAACAGCTGCAACTATTTGCTTAACAACAATGGCAAGAAAGTTCATAAAATGGATGAAAGTTCACTGAACAGCTGTCTCAATTAGCAACAGTGATTCAAGGCTCAATGGTGGACGTAAGTTGAGGAGTACCCATACTCTTCCTTTACAAGTGCTTCAATCATTGGTAATCAAGCAGGCCTTTACTCTCAACTTCTCAATCTGGTCCACAGTGATTGACATCCACTGTTGGAGGACGGATGGAGTAAAATACGGCAAAACTCCTTTAACAACACTCTCGCTTACCAACCAAAATTTTGAGATAAGTTGTGGTTGTAAGTCGAGGACTATTTATGTCTTCCTCTGCATGGCAGCCTTATCCTAGAAAACTCCTTCCCTTTTCTGATAATTTTCCTCTCTGTTGGAGGCACCAAAATAACCCAGATGATATAAGATCTCCTGCTGGAGCAGGGGGTTGACTAGATTACCTCCAAGGTCCCTTCTAACCTTGCTACTCTATGATTCTGTTAGGGTCTCCTGCTCAAGCAGGGGAGTTGGACTAGATGATCTCCGTGGTCCCTTTCAACTCTGTTACTCAACCCAACATTGTGCCCCCCGGCTCTTCTCTTCGAGCCAAACCCAGCTGGCCCCATCACAACATCGCATGCCAATTGCCAGGGGAGGGGCCGGCATGCATGTGGCAGTCAGGAAGGAAATCACAGCAACAAACGCAACTGCACAACTTGTGTGAGGCTGAGATTTTTGGGTGGATGTAAAAACTTACTTAAGCTACCTTAAAGCCACTGGACACAAGGGTGACTTCTGGAGGACCATCTGACCCGACATTGGGAAAGCAGATACAGGCAGTCCTTGACTACATGACCGCAATTGAGTCTGACATTTGCCGTTGCTGAGACAGCAGTTTGTTGCATTTTCCCCCATTTCCCTGCCAACTGCTTGACACCAACTGCCCGTTTGGGGTCAGGCAGGCAGGATCAGGTACAGGGAACCTTGGCAGCAGCTGGATTTCAACATGTAAGATTTATTCCAAAAGAAAATGAAAGACTCTGATAAAAAGAAAAATAAATCACCACGAAAAGCTGCAAGAGGGGCAGTGAGGGAGAAGACATACAGGCAGGCTATGACATTGGGGAGGAAAAGAAGGAGAGAGATGAGAGAAGCTGATATGGGAGCTTCTTGCAGCCTTCCATGGGGCTGGGGGCGGGAGCTGGGGGCAGGGCACAATGCGATCTCCCTCTCTCCTCTTCCTTCCTTACCCTAACAAGGGCCTGAGGCTGCCACACCTCCCTCATGACAGAAACTGCTTTCTCCTGCTGAGACCATGAGCCTCTGCCATTCAGCTGTCACGCCTTCCCCATAGCCCCTGCAACCGCCTATCGCCCATCACACGCTAGCAGGCAGAAACACCGTGGCAGCTAACTGTCCCACGCGGCCAAAGGCCCAGGACAAACGGTGTCTCGGTGAATGGACCAGGCCAAAGGGCTCAGGGAGGAGGCCCATTGGCCAGGGGGAGTGGAGGAGGGAAGCTGGTTGTAAATGAGCTGAGGCAGGAGGCTGGAGGTGAAGAAGGTGTAGGATCCTGAAGGTCTTAGACACTGCCATAGGTAAGACTCTGGGTCCCAAATGGTTGCATGACATTGATGTACTGAATGTACAGTTATCATGTAATAGCCTCTTCAAGGCACTCCTAAATATTTATTGATGACTCCATTAATTGGCTAATTGCAAGAAATTCCATACTCAATTTCCAAAGGAACTTTATTTTTAGCTGAATAAAAGTAATGCCACTTTAGATTTTTATTTCACACTTTTTTCTTCTGATTTTAATAGGCAGTTTGAAATTATTATTCCAGCAGAAGATTCTGTTATTACAGAGATGACTTCTACTTTAAGAGACTGGGGAACAATGTGGAAACAGCTTTATGTGGTAAAGAAATCATTATTTTTCAATATAATATATTTGTGTATACGGGGCTGCTTTTTGACAATACGTTCACAATATTTCAAAACAGAAGCAAACAATGTAATCTTATCTGTGTTGAAGAAGAAACATATGCAGTGT